CATTCAAAGCTCCCGGCTGTCCGGACAGTGCTTTCTTGTGTCCAAGTTCATGTGTCAGTTCCGATTTGCACGCTGCCGTTCCCGGCGTGGCAGCTGAACTTCCTAGTCCAAGTGTGCGAGCTCCGACAAACTGCTAACATGGAGTCGCGTCACGGACGCACGGCGCATGACAAATTCCGAGGCAGCTAGGACAGACCGTCAAACAGAGCAATATAACGCAAAAGTCTTGTCAACGGCCATGAGCGCCAAGCCGCCGGTAATATGCGATACAGGAACTGGCGTGATCAAGGTGCTTGTGTGCTTCAGACTTCATGTTTGCGACGTCTTCTATCTCACATCCGCCAAAGACTACATGTCAAGATAGGGAGCAATTTGTGTTGAAACACTGAAGGCAGGGTTTGCCGGGGAGCCGGAACCGTAGCAGACTCAGTGCAGCGTGTTTTACTGGAGCTATTATGCTGAAGCTTCGGCAGAAAGGTCTGTGGTGCTGCCCAACCTGTTGGGCCGCCCCATGCTACGAGCTGACAGTGGAATCGGCTCGTGCCAGGCATGGCCAGCAGAGACTCGCTTTGTGTTGTTGCGTGCTTCATTAAGCATGCCAAGTCATTTCAGAAAATCTTTGCTTTTTGTTTTTCGTCACAACGCATTCAGGTGGATGATATCATGGTCGGTGACGAGGCCAATGCAGCCAGGCGGGCTTGCTAAGAAACCAAACATAACGAACGGCAGGGCCACAACAAAACTAAATGTCCCTCGCCAAGGTCATTGCTGCAACTGACACGCCCGATTCAGAATGGTGTCGTCAAAGATTGGGAAGGAATGGAGGCAACCAGTGAAGCGCGTCGTTGAGTCGGCTCGCTTCAGAGCATGATCATGGCGAGTTCACCACGAGGACATCACCGGAGCCCGTCGAGCATAGCCGAGTCAGATACATGCGCACATTGGATGCCTAGTTGCAGCTGGGCAGGCTGTTTGGGACTACACCTTCCACAAGCTAGGAGTGAATCCGGTCGAGCATAAGGCCTTTCGTGTCATGCCGTGTATGCTGTGGCCCACTTAGTGTGAACCTGGTGAGTTGGGAGAGAGCGCACCGTCATTTTTAGCCGCATAGGGAGGGTTTGGAGTGCAGCGCATCTCAGGCGGTTGTTCTTGCATGTTGTGACGTCGTATATAGTAGGAACTTTCCGTGCCGCGGTTGTAGCATTGTAGCGTGGCTTGGGTTGCTGCATGCTGCTTGTGCGAAGAAAGGGTTAAAGCAAAGTGCTGCTTTGTGTCGAGTTGGAGGTTCTTCAAACCGAAGCAGCCTTAAACCCACCGCGCAATCGCGAACGCATGGTCCGGAGTCCAAGCTGGGTCCTGCACCGGCAATCATGAAAAGTTACGAGGAGCATCTTACATCACACCAGAGCAGATTGCGATTTTACCAAGAAAGCACTGCAGTTAAAGGCACACTACCAGTCAATGTGACTGAGCTGACCTGGTTGAGATCAGATATTGACCGTGAGAATGATGTGGAGTCGGAGATAGAAACTGTGCTTCAAGGTCGAGATCATGTTTGAACGCTATGGCTTCACCGCGGTGAATGTATCAGTCCAGGCTGGAGCGGAGAGGGCGACTCGTGACGACTTGTGTGAGATGGAGAGGCCATCCTGGCTTTGAATTCTCGTGGACTGGACTCTGGCTTTGTTGTCAGCACTCTCAGAGAGGGCTAGGGCTCTTCCTGCGACTCGCTCCGCTCTCGGTCTCGCGACCACCGCAGCCTTCAGGTCGACTCGGGCGATGGTGTAACACACCTCGTCCCCATCTGCGAGGGCTACCTGGAGCCCGCATTGGTGCAAAGGGTGCGGGGCTTGCGTCGGACAGACTTGACGTATATTTTGCAGCGTGATTCAGGTCAATTTAGCTGGCAGACATGTGACGGAACAGCTGATGAAGCTTCTCGTAGGCGCCCTCTGTTCTCATTCCTTACTTGGATTCGCAGGCTTTCCTCGTTGATATCATTCTGCTGCCTTGCAGGGCAAGGCCATCCATTGAATTCAACTGCGGACTTTGAAACTGTGCGGGAGGCAGCATGCCCACGCGTGAGGAACAGAGTCCCGTCAGATGTCCTACTGTGGAAGGTCAAGCAGAAGTTGTGCTATGTTGCGTATGATCCAGAGGCAGAGAGGAGACTCGCACGGGGGCCCAGCAATTCTCAGAGCCAGCCTTTGGTCCTGCTGTCCCGACCGTGTCCGGTGTCATTGGGCTCCGGCTTGGGCTTCGGCCAGAATGGTAAACTTGGAGTTTCAGAGCATTTCTCGTGAAATCAAGAATTAAGTTTCGCTCTGCAACGATTGCCTTGTTTGGAAGTTTCGTCGAGGCACGCGAGACGACTTTGGTGGACAGACAGCACCCTTGCTGGACCTCTACAGGATATTTCGCCACGGCAGTTCCAGGGTCAGCAAACGAGGCTAGGAGATTTTATTGTGATTGAAGTGTTGCGGACTGCCCGAGGCCTGCGTGTTACTAAGTCACAAGCGACAAGGTAGCGTCACTCGAAAACAGCGGGTGCGATTTGTGGCAACGGCCCAATTTTTGTTCAAGCCAGCTGCACTTGTAGCATGCCCCTGGCAATGGCTTGTGTCGAGTTTAACTCCCCGTCTCTCTCTTTCACTTGCTCGGTTTCTCTTTGTCCATTCCCCTCTGAACAGGGTGTGGTGATGGGCTCTGACTTGCTGTGCTGGGAACCTCCCACCACCCGTTGGCATATCTCAACTTCTTAGTGGGGATCCGTAAAAGCTTAAGCCGATGAAGGGCTTAGTCTATTTTGTAAGGTATGTTCTTCCTGACAGTCGCACCATGCGGGTTGGTGCCGAGCGTTTCCTGGCACCGGAGATCCTGCAGCAGTCTCAGAAAGGGCGGTTAGCGGTTTGGGCAAGGGTGGTGATGGAGACTGTTTTGTCCGAGATGCGGTCGTTGCGAGCCGTGTGCCCCAGATTCACTCCCGCTCTGGGTGGCTACGGCGACGGCGATGGCCTGGCCGACTTGGTTGCCGCCTTGGCTGCTCCCTTCTTCCGTTGTCAGACAGTCGAAGCCAACCAAGTATTCAGGTCTTCAACACGATACGCAAGTCTGACATCCATGTCCAGAAGGATCCGGCTGTCCCGTGTCCTCGCTTTGCAACAACGTTCCATTACGTTCCTTGTGTTTGGCTTGTTTCATGTTGCTGCTTTCGTGATCGTGGCAGATGGCTTCGCCATTGCAGCGCTTTGCGTTTTCTCAAATTTTCGGCGTATCCCGCCCTTTTCAAGCGATGCTTTGCCACTTGGACATGTAGATCTGAATTCTTTCATCACTGATCGTGCGAGCACCTGGTACAGCCGTGTTGCAGCCTTATTGCATCCCTGTCGTTTTGCCACCAACTCTCTTCCGTGTACAGAAGTCATGCAGCCCTGGCCTGTATTTGCAATGCATGACATTTGGGGGTACACGTCCGCTCTTGCGCCGAGCTGCACAAGTGCCGATTGCTTGTCTGCATGGACACGGCAGCTGCGATCGATCTGGCGGTCACGATTCCTTGATTGTTCATAGACACAGTGGATTGCCCTTGGCCCTTCGCATTGTGGATGAACTCTGTGGAGCTTTTCGCGAGAAGCCTTGGCAAGCTTCGATGCCAGGCTCGGTTCTTGATGTTAGTGGCCAGAAGTGCTCTTTGACATGTAGGTGCCGTCGAGAACATTTGCACACCTGGTCGTTTTCTTTGTAGGCTGCGGTCGTAGATTTTCTAAGCTGCAGTGCCACCGCTGGACCACCGCTCCCAACACAGCCAACACGAACATCACGACGATGACAGCTGCAAGAGCAATAAGGACAGCAACGACGACAAAGAACACCCCAGAACAGCGGATACAGCGGCAGCAACAACATCAACCACGACGACAACAATGTGGCGATGCTTCGTCGCCTTGCTGCTCTGCTGCTCTGCCTGTCGCACTTCGAACCACTGCTCTAGCGAGCTCCGTTTGCTTCAGGTCTCTTGACTTGTGCGCGTTCTGCTACTATTTCCCATCTCAGGGCATTCAGAGGTGAATTTGCAGCCTCATTAAGGATTACATGTTAAAAGAAGGTCGTTGTTTGCGCAAGGGTTCGAGACCGGGAAGAGCATAGCTGCCGTGGCTCCAAACTACCACGGAGGTGTTGGTGGTTGGATGGGCTAGGGCTGGGCTGCGAAGGTGTAGCTCGTTTGTTGCGGCCTCGTTGGGCTGGAGTTTGGCTAAGGCTGGGCTGGGCAGGGGGTTCGTACAGTGGCGGTAACCCCTGGCGCGTTTTGAGCTGTGCTAGTTTTTCTTGCCCGAATTGTCGCAGTGTGCATATTGCGCATTGCCCCTGCGCGTCCCCTTCGCGACTGCTGAAGCAACATCTGGATGTTCGGACGTCGTAAAGCTTTCTCATCTGCCATGCTCTGCCACGACAGCAGACGACCAGTCTGTGCCTTTCCACCACTTGCCGCACTTGGAGGCTGGGGTTGAAGACGACCTTCTGGCCCGCTTGACAAGGACCGCCCCCCCCTCACCGCATTGCTTACGTTGGGCGCCAGCTACACCGGCCCTTATGCAAAACCGTTGCGTATTTCAAGACACATGCGCCGTCCGACAGCAAGTGTCACAGGCTTTGGGACGTTGTTGAACAACGTTTTGTGCATGGATGGGGCCTATCGCATGATGACAACCTGCGGCTCCAGCGGCCACGGTGGCTCCGCGATGCGCTAATCTTCGTCTGTGCCCGGGAGCAACAGAAAAACAAACATCCCTGCGCCTGCAGTGTTGAAGCGTCTCTTTGAGCCGCCAAGCGCTGGCCCGGGGCCCACTTGGCCAATACTTTGTTTGGTTTGGGACGGGTTAGGGCCTACGTCTTCTCCCAAACCCGAGCAGGAAGGCATAAGGACGGTGTTCTGTATTTTGCTAGCGTCACTTGCCCTTGAGGACTACTTTCAGCAGATTGTGCTTTCCGGGGGAACAACGATGTTCCCTGGAATGTCGTCACGCTTAGAGAAGGTCCCTGGAGCTGCGCATAGTTCGGAGCTGCGCCTAGTTTGGAATAGGCACCTGGTGTAGTACAATCAATTTGCCAGGATCTGAGAGCTTTGTACTTGCAGAACGTCCTTGGCGGCGATACCTCGCGTGCCTCCAAGTTTAAAGTGCACGTGGAGGCCTCCGCACGACAAGATCGCGCCAGGTAAGGGTGACTGAGCAAGCTGTGGCAGGATCCTCCCGACCGCCGGCATATGGTCTTCTTGGGTGCGTCGATCATGGCGGATCTCCATGAGCAGCAGGTAAGGCTGTTGACATCCAAATGGCCAACCCATACACGGAACTCTCAGGCAAATCCCAGGTACTGGATCACGCGCGAGGAGTACCAGGAGACTGGTGCTAGACACCCCGGCAAGATTGAAGAAAGCTTTTGATGGGAAGAGTGGGAGGAGGAAGACTTGATTTGACAGGTGCCGTCCAGAGATTGATTCCCACGAAGTTAGCTTGAGCAGCAGAGGTTCCGCCGAAGAAAAGGCAGTGCAAGCATGCGGCAGTGGCGATTGGCTGTTAAGTCTTGAGCCTTGACATGAGAAGATGCAATCTTCATGCTGCATGATTCTTATTGCTCTATCATTATCTCAAACCCAGTGGCTGCGGGCCCTCCCTCCTTGCACTCGGGGGCGAGGGCGGTGAGGGGGACCCTGAGCTGTTGAGCTGGCGGAGTTTGAGGACTGCACGTTGCACGGCTTTTCCATGTGTTCTCCATGACTCGCAAGTGTTTTTCCCGATCTCTGCGACTGAGCGAGCAGCGGAAAGCCGTGTTCTTTTGGGGCTTTCACAGGGCCACTTCTTTGCTGCTGTAACTGAAGTTGCCCTGCAAGGAGACGGGAACTGAGGTCATCTGCAAGCAGCCATGACAGCGGCAGTTGCAGAATCATCGGCCCGGATCCTTGCTTTTGTGGGTGTCCCATAATACAATGATGACCATGAAGATGTAGGATCTTTCGTGCCGGCACTGACCGGTAGCAGTGATGCATGGTGGCCAGAATCCTTACGGAAGGCTGATAAGGCTACCACACAGATCTGCCTGCAGTGGGGCTGTCATACTTCTGGATGATGATATTTCAAGGCATAGCTACACAATGCGCTACCTCCCTGTCTCTCAAGAATGTGTGGGTTGCAGAAGCCACAGTAGGCCTTCTGAGCGAGACTTTTCCCTTGTGTTCCGATCGCTTTCGTGTCCCATGTGAGGGTTGGTCTGTCGCTTACGCTCAGACTCAGGTGGATCCGCCGGTGGCTCAGCGATGCGGTTTCTTCGAGCTTTTTCTTTGTAGCTCCTGAGGCTGGGGTCCCGAGAAAGAACTCCAGTGACTCTGGCTGTCAGGACCCTTGCTATCCTTCCTGCTCCCACATCGGATCCGCACCTTGCAAAGCTCGTGGGTCCGAGTGTGTGTGGCTCTTGCAGGAAGTCTTTAAAGAGAACACATGACCTTTTCGTGGGGAACGAGGAGTTGAAGCGAGTGGAGGTGGGGCCCGGTTTCATCTGAGTGCGAGTGCACACGCTCCTGAAGAGGATTCTCGGGGTACAGCGGCTTTGCTACGGCTCAAGATGAATGACGAGTGCCTTCTGTGTGCGTCGCTGCAAGATGCTTGACTCAGGTCCTTGCTGGCAGCATCTCCCGATTATAGAATCCTCCAGGATTGTTGTTGTTCTCGCTCGTCCATGCTTGAACCCTTACCTGCCTGTCCCTTCAGCAGGCCCTGCGCAGCCACCCATGCTGTCACATGCGACTTCCTGCCGACACATTTTGCACATGGAAGTGGTTGGGGTCAGTTGATCATGCCGTCAATGAGAAAGGTGGGCTGTGGGCAAGCCAGTACCACGTGAATGGCACATGCTAGGGACGGGACGCCATGATGCGTGCTGAGCAGACAATGCCTTAAAACTAGTAATTAGCAAATTAGTTCGTGGGAACTCAAATGCGGTGTCTTGTAACGCCCACGGAAGATCCCTGCATGCAGGTTTGTTGCTGTCACAATCCAAACCGAAGGTTGGCTTTTGAGTGTCGAAAATGTATCCATACTCCAGCCACGGCAGGCTCCACTGCCGAGCCGAGCGGACCTTGCTACAGAAGCATGTGACGACCGCGGTTGCTTGTTGTGAGTGAAACATTGCGCACAGAAAAGTGCGGGCAAGTGATGAGTTGGCCAGGTGAGAGAAAAGCCGTACCAGTCAACGGTTTTCCCCTCCAAAGAAACGCCAAATAGCCACCAAGAAGACCGCAGTAATGATGTGTGTGTGTGTGTGTGAGAAATCGGCACCGAGAAATCACAACGCTTTTTCAGAGTGTCTCAGCCGCCTTGCATGAGTTCTTGGGAGCGAGAGGTACCAGCACATTCGGGACGTACCCGAGCAAGTCACGGACGAGACTGTGACAGCGTTGGTGCCTCAGACTTTGTAATGCATAAGCGAGGAACAGGAAGTAGAGCTTCTCGTGGCTTCAGTCTCCCGTTCCTGCGGGCGGGGACCGACGATGCCACCCAGGAGGCAGTTGGGAGTTGGTGGGTACACTTGTTTATGCTCATGAAGCTCTCGAGCTGGTTTGATGAAAGGCGTTACCATCGGCGATTACACAAATGATCACGGCCAATCCGGCTTTCTTGTGGCCTCCTTTGTGCGAGAGATACTGTCGAGTGCGTCCCGACTTTTCTGATAGCAGGATGGTGAGGAAAAATCCGGGCACGGCCCAGCAGTGGGGCCAGCGCGACGGGCATGTTTCACATCGCGTAAGTCCTCGCCCCCTCTTTCGTTTGGCACATGCAGGTTGTGCCTATAGCGCCGAAGGCTCCTGTGGACCCATCCACGCAGATACAGGCAAGGCTTGCTGCAGTATCGTGGGTCTATGCGCATTGATTGACTTGGTATGTGTACCGTCAGGTAAGGCCTCTGCGCGAACGTCCAGAGATTCCGAAGCCCGTATGGCATCCTCCGTGGAAGCTGATGAGAGTGATGCGCGATGCTCAATTGGAAGCCTTTGGTTGCTTCCGTCGTCTCGTTGCCGATTGAGGGTCCAAATTGGTTCCGACCAACCATGAACAGCGGTCGCTTTCACCCGAAGGTCGAAGTGAAAAGATGAAACTCCATGCTGCCATTGCACTCACAGCGAACCGAAGCGGTGACCAGGTAAGCCCATCCGCCCCATCACAAAGAACTGCATCAGGGCAGAGCAGCGTGCCATCCGCGAAACCTGCCCAGTTCAAATGGCCCATGGCCTTTCATGAATCCTGTTGTCGGCGTGGAATGAACAAGTGTTGATCTGTGCCAGATGTGCCATATCAGAAAGTGCTTTGACTCCATGGCGTCGGCCGTTAAACCAAAGGTTCCCGTGCTTCCACCCATCTCACATTTCCTCGTGTGGAGAATGATACGGCTCGCCCGACCACTGCCCTGTGTCCCAGACTCGACGCTTTTTGTTTCAAGTCAGTGCTGGTGTTCTGTTCGCCCTTTTCCATCACGACAGCTTTCGAATTGCTTCCTGGCTGGGCTCAAATGGTACTGCCACCATTTGCCACCAAATCGTGTGCATTCCTCTCGGGTAGGTCATCCTGCTCTTCGGTTGCCCCCTTGATGGGATTGTGCCACGAAGCGCGCGCACACACAGCCAGTTCTTTTTCTGATTGATATTAGCAGGTGCTCTCGAACTCCAAGACCACTCACTCAGAGCCGACGGGTACCATCATAAGCTCGAATGCCAAGGAGAGATATTGACTGCAATGTCGTCTTCGATGCTTGCTCCCATTTCACCTCCGATCCGTCTTTGAGATCGGCGCTGGAGCATCCCTTTTTCTCCCAAATTTGCACTGATTTTGAGTTCGGAGCAATGCACGCTGGTCACATGCCGCACCCTGAATCGCTTTACAGCTGCCAAATCGCGAGCAACTCCTTGCCAAGAAGCCGATCATTGCAGCCCTGAATGTACACTCCCGAACAGCAAGTTAGATCCACACAGAGCCAAAACCTCGGATGCCAATCCCCCACCAAAAGTTCCGAGCCCGAAGTCAGAACCAGATTTGTCGTTTTTGCCCGGTGGCCAAGTTAGAATCTAGGGAAGTTAGAACCAGCCGGTACCCCTCAGTACCACACCCATTCCGCCCCATGTGCCGCCCAGTAGCCCCGTACCACCCCGCCTGCTTCAACAGCTGGGTGATGGGTTTTGGCGGTTTTGTCCCGGTGCGGACCGGTACCCAGTACCGGCCCGCACCACCTCCACGCCGTGGCCCCGTCCCCCCGTTTAGCCCCATGCGGCCGCGCACTGCCCGTACCGCCCCATACTGCCCCGTATAGCCCCCGACCACCCGTGTACCGCCCGCACCGCACCGTACCGCCCGTCCGTACCGCCCCGTTCCCTCTGCCCGGTGGAACCACCCTGCTTCAACTTCTCGATGTTTTCATTAGTTTGATAGCTGGCGGCCTGTTGGCGCGAAAGTCAGAACCACCCCGTACCGCCCCGTAGACAGTATACCACACCTGTACCGCCCGTACCGGCCCACCTGTATCGTTCCCCGCCATATACCCGATGCGCCCCGTACCGCCCCCCACGGTACTGCCCCGTAGCCCCTCGTACCACCTCTTGCATGTGGCAACATGTGGTTCTAACTTGCCCGCCAACGTACACCACTGCAACCCGGCACCCCGTTCCGTGCAGAGAAACCCGCACCTTGCCCGTACCGCCCCGCATCGCCCCGTACCGCCCCGTACCCCCGAGGCACTGCTACCGCCCTCTGTACCGCCCCCGTTCCGTACTCCCCCGTACCCCGTGCTGCACAGCCCCGCACCGCCGCGCACCGCGCCACACCGCCCCGTACCGCCCTGTACTGCCTGTGCCGCCCCGTATACCGCCCATGTCTCATACTGCCGGTGCCGCTGGTACGGCCCTGTACGGGGCGGTACGTGGTACGGACGGGCCGGTACGTGGCGGTACGGGCTTGGTATACTGCTTATACGGGGCGGTACAGGGTGGTTCTAACTTTCCCGCTGTGGGGCCTTTAAACGATATTCAAAAAATATTTGGAATTAGCTCCACAACCCATCAACCCCAGCTGTTGAAGCAGGGTGGTTCTAACTTCCCTTGGCTTGGTGACGTTTCCAGTTCAAACTCGCTGCTCGGGGAAAGCGGCGCCCGAGAAAGCAAACCGACTCTCGGGGGAAATTGCGGCAACAAGGGTGGTTCTAACTTGCCGTCCGGGAGAGTAGGCCCTATGACAGCTGCACGCCGCTCATCTGGAACACGAGCTCGTAGCCAGAGAGAAGTTGCTTGATATGACGACAGTAGAGTCTTCTGGAATGCCAAGCTGATCCCGATCCAGAAAGCAGAACCCCGCAACTGCTACTCACACATTCACGTGAGGGAGCCCGGCTGTTGCTTTGCATATCTATCTATCTATCCATCTATCCATCTATCTAGCTATCTAGCTATCTAGCTATCTAGCTATCTAGCTATCTAGCTATCTAGCTATCTAGCTATCTAGCTATCTAGCTATCTAGCTATCTGTCTATCTATCTGTCTGCCTGCCTGCCGGTCTGCCTGCCTGTCTGTCTGTCTGTCAGTCTGTCTGTCTGTCTGTCTGTCTATCTATCTATCTATCTATCTATCTATCTATCTATCTATCTACCTCTCTATCTCTCTCTCTCTGTCTCTCTATCTCTCTGTCTCTCTATCTCTTTCTTTCATATATATATATATATATATTTGTATCATGTATTGAGATGCAGGTTTCTACTTGGCGAAAGTTAAGCTAAGCTAGGAATGGCCGACATTAATATATCGGACGGTCACCGTTTGCAGGACCCAGTGAAAGTTGTAAGTTGTGTTCCTGGTGTGTCGGAACTTGAAGCAGTGACTGTGTTAAGGTCTGGCCATGAGGGCTGGGTGCGAACTGTCGCTGTGGATCCGACAAATGAATGGTCAAAGTCTTAATCCAAGGTGTCAAAGGGCGACGAGTGGAACGGGAGAACAGGCCTCTGTCTTTTTGCATGCACTCGGCCGTTTCAGGTTCGCATCCTCTGGCAATGATCGCCTCATAAAGATCTGGGACCTGGCTAGCGGCACGTCCCTCGCTCAGGCAAAAGCTTGTGTTCGTGTAATGACGAAGTGGCTGTTGAGCAGGTTGAAGCTGTCCCTGACTGGGCACGTCAGCACGGTCCGAGCCGTGGCGATTTCGGACAGGCACGCCTCGGAGTTAGCAGGAAAGCAGTGCATGGAGTGGTATTTCACGATGGCCCCTGCAGTGGTGTGCAGGCATCCCTACCTCTTCAGCGCGTCCGAAGACTGTGAGGTGAAGTGCTGGGACCTAGAGCAGAACATGGCCAGCCTTGCTTGTCTTGATGCTTTTCTGGGTGCTACGGTCTGAAGCGTTGTGCCAGGTAATTCGCAATTACCATGGACACCTCAGTGGTGCCCATTCCTCGGCGGCTGTGGCATTTGTGAGCTAGCCTCAAGAGTATCTGCAGTGGTGCAGTGGCTCTTCTGAGGTGTACTGCCTCGTTTTGCATCCCACCCTGAACATCCTCGCAACAGGCCTGAAGTAGAGTCTTGGACATAACAGGGTTGATGCCTTTGAAGAAGTATCGCGAACACTGTTCTCTTCCGTCTGTGGGAGGTGGACGTGATGGCTCAGTCCGTGTGTGGGACATGCGCACCAAGACCGGGATTTTTGTTTTCACCGGCCATACCAACGCCATTTGCTCGTTGACCTCGCAGGCCCTGCTGAAGGAAAGGAAAGTTTGTTCTTGGTACATGTCATCAAGCTCTGCGGTTCTGTCGGAGAGGCTGCCGAGCCCCAATTTATCAGCGGTTCCATGGACAGAATGGTTCCGCGCTTACGCTTTGGTCGTCTAGGCCTAGGCAGCATCCATCAAGATCGCTGAGACATCCAAGGTTCGACTTTGGGATCTGGCCGCCGGTAAGTGCTCCGCTGTTGCCTGAGATGGAAGTCTAAGTCGAGTTTCGGCATGTGCTTGTCTCTGTTGTGCTCGAAGGTCACTTTGACCAACCACAAGCCCGGGCCTACACTCCGTTAAATGCGCTCTTGCCGTGCGAAGCGTACATCTCAGGAAGAGCATACGAGCCTTGGCGATCCATCCTCTAGAGTACACCTTTGTGTCGTGCTCATCTGATAACAACAAGGCCTGCGCGCTCTCGCGGATGTGCCTGATTTTTTAGCTGCTCACCGCTTGGGGCCATGAGCAGGTATGGAAGTGTCCCAAGGGCGCTTTTGAGCGCAACATTCAGGGCCACAATGCTATCGTGAATAGTCAACCTGCCATGTCTTGCTCTCCGTATTCGTCTCTGTTTGGGCTGGGCTTGGTCCGAGAATCGCACGCAGACGCACGCAGAAACCGACACAGCTTTGCAAATGTGAAGATCGAGCCACGCAGACGTTTCTTCCTCTCTTGCATGCACGAGGAGGGGAGGGCGGCGTTTCTTGTGAAGCGATGTCGGAGCAACGCTCCGGTGTGACCACCTTGAGATCGTCCATGTGCCTAAAGTTGTAGCTGGAAAGGTCAAACACCACATCAATGATTCTGCCTGGTTGGGATCATGCAACATAGACATGCCATTTGCAAGGACATCTGAGCTGCACATACATGGTCACATGTCACTACGGTAGTGAAGTAACTTCGCAGCTTGAGAGCATGGTGTTTTTTTCATATTTGCATGTGCATTTATCCGGATTCCCATTTGATTATTGAATTTCATTCCTGTCCATAGGCAGTTGGTTTGCCTATGTTTGCCTGAGACGTTTCGAGACGATCAATTGTCCCAAGATTTGTTACCACTGAGAGCAATCGTCCTCCACAAACTAGTATGTGCGGAGTTCAACTAACTCCATTCAATGATCTACCATTTGGGTCCCTTTCCGGAGGTGCAACTGTGATCAGATATTGGTGACCCATGTGACCCAGAACCTTCAACACATGCTGGTTACAAAGTGTGTGTGTGTGTGCTATTCGTGGATCCAGTATGCAAGTTATGGGCGACTACAGGCAGACTTTGAGTCCATCAATTCTCATGGTCCCCCTGGGTTGCTGGAACGACAAGGTGTCCATTCCACCAGCACTGACAATCCATCCCCTCGAGCAAGGTGTGTCCAACAACAACGGCGCTCGCACACAAGAGATGCCATTCAAGATCAAGCATCGGCAGCAAACTCTCATGTCCAGTCCGATCACGAATGCTTTTTCGCAGGGCTTGAGTTTTCAGGGCGGAAGCGGCGTGGGGAGAACGCCCATGATGCTGGGTCCGTGGGGTAGCCAAAAGAGCTGATGCTCACCATCCGCCTCTTGCGGCGGCGGTGGGGGTGGCAGCTGATGCACCTGGTGTCTGGTCTTCGGGGCCGAAATGACGCTCCCCTCAGCCGCCCGCAAACAACGAGATCTTCAGCTGCTTCAAGGATCTCCCGCCGCCGCGCGCAAATTCTCTGTCAAACCGTGACAGCTGATAGCTAACAATGGATGTGAGAGTACTTAATTCAAGCTCCGCACACCGTGCTGTTCTGTTGTATAAGGCTGTTCCGGCAGGATCGATGCGACTTCCGTGCGCTGACCATCAAGAATTTTCCGCGGGGAGCGCTTTCGTTTGACTGTTTTGTTTCCTGTTGTGCTCAAAAACGTTCCGTCTGCCGTGCCGGTTTCTTGCACATACAAGTCGGCAGCGATAGTTCACAAGTGCATGCACCATGTGCATGCAACATTTCTTGTATTGGGTGTTGGTATACAACCAGAGATTTTGAGTGGATCGGCTTCCATCTGTCGAGTTTGACAGCAAGACCACGTCGCGTGAACTGCAAGCGGGAAGAAAGCACAAGCATTATCGCCACGTCATGCTAAGATGTTTGCATTCGCAAGGATTGTTCTAGCTGCATCCAGTGGGTCAAGCGGCGCCCGAGAGAGCACTTTCGAGAGCCGAGAGCCTCTTCGCTGGAGTGAGCACTTGGCAGGCTGCACAATTCGAGAAGGGCAGCAGGGCTCATCGCAGCTGATTGCTGGAACAGACAATGGCTATCTCCATTTTTGGGACAGATGCTGTAGAAAGTCAGCTAATCATTTCGTCTGCAGAGCAAGCGCAAGCCAGATGACCTGTAGGATTGGAGAAGCGGCCACAAGTTCCAAAGCTTGGAGGTGCAAACACACGCATGTTTGCGTTTCAAGCATTTGGAGAAGCAAGACGCCAGGCCATACCTCAACCCGGCAGCATGAGTTGGATACTTGGTGACGTCATCCGGTTGGTAGAGCAGACTGTTTGAGCGTCCGCTCTTCCGTTGTCATGACTGCTGTTTTCACATGTGATTTTCGCGATGTGGGTTGACCGGCCATTTTGAGCTCGAACTGCAGGTGCGGAAAATGCTATTTTCGACATGGCGTTAGGAGCTTGAGAGCAGCGGCAGCGGTGATCTCTTTGGGTTCGTTGGTGACTGGTGTGTAAAGGCTGGACCAGAGTGGCAGTCGCTTGCTGACGGCGGAATGCGACAAGACCGTCAAGATTTACAGAGAGGAGAATGCGAATGTGCCACGCCATTGTGCTAGTTGCATTGTGATTTGGACATGTTTGGACTCATTTTCAGCACGCTCCACGAGCCTCATACCTTTTGGCAAGGACCCGAATGCGACTCCAGAAACGCATCCGCTCAATTGGAAGGCAGGAATACCATGATTGTGACAGCTAGTTCTTGCGAATTTGCGTGTTTCAGGCAGCAGGACTCTGTGTTTGGGGCTGCAGCTTCAATCTGGGAACAAGCTTCAAGCTTCAGCATGCAGCACCTCCTTTCCAAACTTGAGTGTGATTTGTCATCGACTTGTGTACATGTACACCCGATGCTTGTTAGGTTCTTGCCAACTTTGTTTCACCTGCAGCTTGACTGCTCAAGACCGGCTTTGCCAGGTCCAGCAAAAGGCCCGCTTGCACTTAGGGTAGTGCTAGTGCTTCCTTCTTGCGGAGTAGTTAAACCAATGGAACCAAACTCTGATCCGATCTCAGCCCCGCATTGTCTTGGCCACTGCTTGCTTGCTGGGTGCATGATTAGAAGCACCACTGCTTTGTGACAGAGAGTGAAGTGGATTCCTCTGCTTTTCACATTGAGGTTAGAGTTAGCCCCTCAGAAGGGTGAAGCCTTTCCAAAGTGGTCTTGCATCCTCGTTCGGGGGTGGCTCTAGCTGCCGGACAGACCTCAAGCAAGCGCTCTCTACAAAGAGCATGTATCGGACCTTGCCATCTGGCGAGACCCCCAACCGTCCGAGACATTTGGACACTTGATTGTAAATTTGTACGAGTGAGTGTGAGAAAGAGAGATGCCATCCATTTTGGCTCAAGTCATCTGCCGCGCTCTCTGTTGGGGGCGTGCTCAGCAACGGCCCTCGGGTCTGGGGAGGGTTATCTCCCTAGGCAAGGAGTGGACGTTTGTTTGAGCGGAGGTGGCTTGAGACCAGCCATCCGCGGCCGTTGTCAGATCAAGGCCCCAGTAAAAAGTTAGCCATACCCTACGAGGGCAAGTTTGCAGAACTATAGCTGCGAGCGTGTGCAGAACTATAGCTGTGAGCGTGTCCTGGTGCCTGCAAGATCTTCACTTGTGCAGCCTTTGACTTCCGTTCAACCCTAGCGTGGGGCCACATCGCCCTTAATCCTAGTTTCTTTTCAACTCACCTTCGTCCATGCATTCATGTACCATTCGGGGGGGGGCGTAATTCACTTCTGTCCACCCGTGGCGAACCAATGTATTTCCCACTCACGCGATGCCGTGGGGGGACAGCATGTTTTTCATCCCAGTCCCGAACTAGGTTGGCAGGGTTTCGGGGGAGCTTTGTTTGATCGTTTCGATGTGGGGGATTGTTTACTCTTTTCTGTAAAACCCTCCTGGCAATTTATCCGTGTATAGCCGAGCTTTCATAGGGCACAGCCCACTCGGAAGACCAAGACGCCCGTGAACCGCAGGTGCACGCGCGCGTGCGGAGAAGGGCACCTGGACCGCCGCCCTGTCGCGGGAGAGAGAGAGAGAGAGAGCTGAAGAAGAATTGAGCACGCGAAGTGACAGCAGTGAACAAAGCCACAGACGGCGGCGAGTAAAGCAACTCTGGTGGGCACAAAACTTCTGCGCAGTGTGTAGCGTGTTAGCATCTCTAGGACCCTAGTTTGCTTTAAGCAGAGTTGACCAGGGGACCAGGCTTAAGGGTTGAGTGGAAGGTCGCAGGAAGAGTGGGGGATCAGGCTTCAGTTCGGGATACAGGCAGGGTCAGGCAGGGTCAGGCAGGACAGGTTGGGATTCAGTGTAGGGAAGCGTCTCGAAAGCTCCGGGGAGGCACGCAACTTATGGGAGCAGGGCATGGCCTGCCTAGCGTGAAGCCGTCCTTGTGCCTTGCCTCCACGGAGGCTTTCCAAACCAAACGAGGCACACAGACCTCCACACCGTCACAACAGTACATCTGGGAGGTAACTCCTCCTAACTCTAACCCCTAGCAAACCAAAGCAAAGCAGAGAGAGAGAGAGAGAGAGCGAGAGAGATGCCAGTTTTCAGGGTCAAGGGGGCTCCGAACGGACCATGGGGGCGAAAACCGTCCTCCAAGCCCCAAAGCAACTTGGGCGCCAAGGCGCGGGTTAGCGACGCTAGCCCGAACCCAACGGAAGGAAGGAGGGCAGACGGAAGCAGTTGGACCGCTGCTTCTGCCACGCCCTGTCGAGAGAGAGAGAGAGAGCGAGAGATAGTGTCATGGGTTGTGTGGAAGAGGGGCAAACGGCCGGGGCAAACCCCAAAGCCTTTGTTTTCTGCAAACGACGGGAAGCGGCCAGGTATTTGCATCAAACCGAAGAGTGTGGTAAAAGGTGCTGCAGCTCCGTGGATTTTTATGTCGGCCCCGCTGAGCTTCGTCAACGCCCATGGACGAGACTTGAGCCGGATCTCGAAAACCCCGGATGTAGAATGATCAGAACATATCAGAATGATGGTAGATGGAGGTCCTTAGCGCAAATATGAAGCAGACCGCTTGCAATACCGTCATGTTGCAGTCGTGTTGCAGGCGCCCAAGCTTAATGCACACCATCGCTACTGAGTCCGATTCGGAAGCACAGTCTCACTGCGGCTTGCCACCCAGGCCCAAAGTTGCCTAACGCTCTGTTGCGAGCTGTTGCTGGTGGAAGGCAGAATTGTGCCTCGGTAGCTTTGATGCCTAGCCGGAGCGTCTGGAATTGGGCAAAACGCAGTACTCTGTGTTCCGCGTGTCTTTCTGGCAAACATCTTGTAGCGTTTGACTCGTATCGACCGGTGTCAAGCCGCTTCAGGCTTATGTAAGACGATGTTGAATAGAAGCCACAAAATAAAGTATCATGGCAGGACAGTCACAGACCAGGACAGCATAAACAATGCCATCACAGCTCCTCATCCAGTCTCAGACGACCGTCGCCAGCCGCCTTCCAGCTGGCTTGATGATGTTGGTCCTCCCGCATGGAGACTGGCAGCTCCATGACAGCAAAGGTAAGCGGGAGACCATCCGAACACCTTGGACAGAAGCTGAGGTTTAGATATCCATCCTCCAAAGCCAGATGACGGAGAGGTGGCTTCCTCTTGAGACCGGCGCTTTCTGCTTGCCGCTGATTTGGCAACTCCTGAGGAGTCTGCGAGCGCCGCTGGACAAGGCTGCAGCTTTGTAGTGGTTTGGTCACCATGGATTCTGGGCACCGCGAGAAGGACCAGAAGCTGCTGCTTCCGACCAGGAGCCCATATGCCATCACTTGCAGTGCGTTGCTGTGGAGGGATAGGTGTTTTGAATCAGGCTCGCCACCTGAGAGTTAGAGTTGGCGAGCTGTTTCTCGTTTCTACTTGTTTTGGGGTGTAAGGGTCGAAAAGCAGATGGGCTTCATAGCCCTTCCAAGATCAAGGATTGTAGAGAGAGGCGAAAGGCTCTCTGCAATGCATCCTGTGCCTGTGGGCAAACAAAGTCTTCAGCAGACTAAGGAATCTACAGATGCGCCTTCAGCTGTTCAGTCTTGAGGCAAAACCGATCTCACGTTAGTGCCTGCCCTACAGACTTACTGTGCTTGACCCCCAATCCAAACACCAACTGAATAGCGTGCGTGCTTGCATTAGGCTCTGCAGATTTGAGAGGGCAGAGTTCGAAACTTGCAAACAAAGAGTCTCTGGGGTCAGCTTCAGTTTGCAAGCTCGGGAGGTACGGAGCAAAGGGATGCGAGTCAACGCTTCTAAACGTACAAAACTGGGTTCTCAACCAAACAGACCGGTTGGCGAATAGAAGGCAGGCTTTTGAAAAACTTGTTGCGAGGACAAGGTGTGTCGCTTCTTTGCCTCTACGCCGAAAAACTTCCGGGCAAACCGGCAGTGTGCAAATTGACATACATAAGCTAGTTGCCTCACACGTAAACGATTCCAAAGACATGATTCCGAACACCATGCTGGCCGCTGTTGTGAGGAATGTCCCCCGGGCCACAAACGCCACTCGACGGTGTCCAAACCATGATTCACACGAAAGGCTGTCATGTCTCACAAGGCAGCTGAGCATGGACAGAATCATAAAGACACGTACTCTTTTGACATTTGTAGTTTGAGCGAAAGCCGCGCAGATTTGGAGCCTGAGCTCCAAAGTCGAGACATTCGAGACCGAAGGCACTCACGACGTGAAGCTCTGCAGCCCCGCACGTCATCCTAACATTGATCACTTGATAATCCCCAAACCGGAAGCACTAGCCCTGAAATTCTAAAGCCCCGCGCCACAAAGCAACTGTCCAGCATCGAGTAGCATTGCTTGAGGACGTCATTGACGATGTGACCCAGGCATGGGGGTGCTTGCAGTGTTTGCTTCGAGACGGCGGTGGTCACTCAAATGAACTGTCAGACCTTGCAAAAGGTTGACAATGAATCCTCAGACGTGCCCTTGAGGCTGAGCGGCTGTCCATTCGGTTGTATTATAGTTAAAAATCTGAGACCGTGGACGGGCGCGGGCTGAGTGCTGCGAGTTGGTTGGGCAGCTTTATGATTGCAAATGGGGCCGTCTGTCGTGGAGCGGTTGTCCGTGAAGATTTCAGGCATTGGTTGAGGTACACAAAAGGCGAGATGTTCCGCACCTGTAGAGTTTGGAAGCCACACGGATCTTCGATCTTCTTGTTGTTGTCTTCCTCTCAAACTCTTCTCAGTAAGAGGATTTCTTTCTAAGCAATCCTTCGTCGCTCGCTATGCAGTGCACCAATCGCTGTTGAGCTGGGATGTTGAGCTGAAGGGTTTGTCGTCAGAAAGCGAGGGCGTCTCTGGTTGCATGTTGCAATATGCTAGACCGTATCTCCAGGCCAGCTGGTGTGAACCTTCGCCTACTGCCATCACTGGCACCTCCAGGTGATGGGTCGGTGTCTTAGATTTCACTTGTACATGTGCTTGCAGGTTGAGCACGGTCGCTCAGGTGCCACCGCATTTGGCGGCGTTCGCACAAAAAATGCCGTGATCAAACGGATGAGGTGAAGGAGTGGCACGCGCCTAAACCACTATTCGATGCTCGTATGTAGGAGTGGCAGGCTTGATGGTTGAAGCTGAGGTACTGCCACAAGCGCCACGTTCTGGTGACCCGGCTTGTCTCGTAGTGCTGCATATCCAGTAGAAGATAGTAGAAGCCATGCATCTCTCGCTGTGAGGTTTTCACCTACAGTGGGAAACCTGTGTACTCGCGCTATGGCGAAGAGGTGCATCGTAGTGCAGAGTCACCAGGTCAGGTCAGCTTGGAGAAACTGCAAAGGATGGTCTCAGTGGCACCACCGGTGCGCTGTCAGCCATTGTGCCTGGGGCCCTTTGGCTTGGCAAAGCATGATCGCGTGTCCTAGTCTTGTAAGGTCCAAGATGGCCAAGTTCTTCTTTTGCGACAGTACCACAACGGATTGTTTGAGGTGCCCTGTGCCCTCATAACGCCCCTCGAGGGCTTGATTGCGAGGGGACGTTTCGAGGATGGCAGCTGCAGGTACATGACTGCGGGCGAGCACGTCTTTACCTTTCTGGAGAGGGGACCCCTTTGGTGCGCTCTCTCAACTTCGCATCCTCCCATATACCCTGACCTGACAGATTGCAGGCTGGTCTGCATATCATGCAGTGGCGATCTGTATGGTGACATGGTGTGCTTGCTGGAGTCGGATCCCCAATTCCTGAAAAGACTACAGTGCCAGTGCTGTAAGTCCTGGCCTGGCCTAGACTCCTAGACTTCCTGTGCCGGTCACAGTTGCGAAGATGAGCAGCTTCACTTCATGAACTGAGGCGCGTCCACATGCAAATCATTACCATCCTCACAGCTGGAATCGATGCTTGGACCGGGAAGGAAGAGCTATGCCTTGGTGTCGTAGACCTGTTTTTTCATGTCGCGAACTGCACTCGAGCTTCCGGGAGGGCGATGTTTTCTGGTGCCGGAGATGCGACTTACATGAATCATTGTGCGATGTTGCTGAGGCCGATGGTTCTTCAAAGTCTTAAGCCTGGCATTTCTAGGCCCTAGAGCACGGCAGGGAGGAAGGAGTTCTGCACGAGCACTGTCGTGTGGTCGTTTACTACCAAAGAAGCATTTGAGTCATGAGAGCTTGGGGTCTGACTTCAACTACGTGTTGCTTTGGGTGTCATTGGCAGCAGACGAGGAAAGAACCCTAGTCAGCCGCCCCAACTACGACATGAGAGGGCTGCTTGGAGGCCACTTGCATCGATTTCGTGAGTTGTGTTTTCCCAGTTTTTGCGTATCCGTATCGTTTCAGGCACGGAGCAGGTCGTCAACAGCATGATTCGATGGTGTGTGCAGGAGCTTGCAACTTCGATAATTGGTGCGACGTGAAACAATTGGTGCCACTTGGAGGACATGTTCTTGCAGTGCGAGGGTTTTGAAGCACTTCCTCTGGCCCCGAGTGTGCGAAATGCAGCAACGGAGGCTTGTGTGTTTCAACTATGGGGAATGCCTGCATGTGCGCATGTTTGCATCCGGTCAAAACAGAGTGCAGGCATTGAAGTCAGCGAGACTTCCAAATGTTCTTTTTGCTTTTCTGATGGTCCGCATCTCAGAAGAATCTCGTACTCTTGTCCCTTGTACATGAGAGCGGCAAGAGGCCGGGCATCGGGTCCTCAGTGCCGTCTCGAACAGGTGCAAACGATTCGGTTGGGTTTTCTTGCAATCATACGAGTGCCAGGCAGTACCGCCTAAACGCTCTGGACCTGGGCAGGGATCTTGCTGGGCACATGCCCAGTTTGAGCACACCTGCCCCGCCCCCGACGCTGTTCGCTGCAGGCATGGTGATCAATATCATCATGTCGTCTGCTTCACTGCGGACGGGAGAGTCGTGGACACCTGTGTGCATGAGCCAGTACAATGATAAGGCAGTCAGAGCGTTTCGTGATCTCCGCACTTTCCAGTCGCTGTACGTAGTCGTAGTCTCGTTGCTACATGCTTTGGTTGAAATCCTGGCAAGAGTTGTTCCTGCTGACAGGGGTTTGCCTATGCATACATCTCTTTCCTGGAAGGCAGGCGAGAATCGCTCCCTCGGTGTGTGTGCGTGTGGGTGATGTTTGCACAGCTGTTGTTGATATCTGGAGGTTCGGATGTGGGGGTGGTCTTCCTATCCACAGCTTCAGACGGAGAGCAGTTTTACGCAATTTCACAACAAGCTGCCATGGCGAAGCCGGCCGAATTGAAGCCGGAGACTGTCTCATTTTTCTATTGCTCCGGGTATTGGTTGAAGTGCTGCAGTCTTACCAGGTGAAGGATGCGTTGAAGCAGTGGGGCACCTGCAAGCCTTCGGAAGCTTTCGTCGGCGGGTTTTCGATTTTAGATCTGCAGGCCCGGCTGTGCTGAGGGCATCGAGGAAGCAATCTCAAAAAGTTTTCATCTCAGTCCCTGCGGCCCTGCGACCTTCCATGTTTGACAGTCTGTAAGCGGTGCCCAGGTCCGATTGACCTGGCATCAGTTTCTCGGGGGACGCTCAACGCCCGTGACTTTCAGTCCAAGCAAAGTAGTGGTACCTATTGCGAATAGGCAGGTAGTAGATGGCATGAATGTCCTCACAAGTGCACAGTGGCACTAATCATAAAGACACTGATACTTTGCCGATGATTCGATTCAGGCTTACGCACTGCACCTACGCACAAGTACAGAGGATATGCCTCATACCACCTCCAGCGGATTCGTGTCACAACGATATCGTGACTGCTCATTCTTCACCAACACCTAGGCTCCCGCAGAATCCAGCCCAGGCTGGTTTGTGTGCGATTTGCAACCAAGCGGATTTTCCGATGTTGATGATCACAACATATGGCAATCGCGCGAAGTTTTGCTGTCCCATGCGACATGAATAGCGCTCAATTGCAGCGGTTGGCGAAAGGTACGCGTGCTTCAATACCAAGAAGATCACTCCTGGCCGGCACCAAAGTCTCCGCAGGAGTGTCAAAAATGCCTCGGATGCCAGTAGACTCTTGTGGACACTGCACCAAGGCCCCTGGAAACCCGCAGTGGCAGTCCACCCGTCAAGATGACTTGATTCTTCTCACTTGCAAGTCTCACGTGCCAGGCTGCTGGAGGGCGTCATACATGCCGCGTGACCTTCGTGCTTCTATAGAACTTGCCTTCGTCGCGCCAAGGGAGCTTTATTGCTCGGCTTTCCGCTTCGTTCATTGGATAGATCAACACTGATGTAGTGCGGAGACAGCAGCAGCTCATCAGCAAGCAGCCGGACCACTCATCCATTACTGTCGTGTTGCTGCATCGAGCGCTCCGGATCGAGCGTGTGACTACCTGTGCAACAATGGGCACACTGGCCTCTATGCGCTTACCTCATCTCATCTCATAACTTCTGCCACTGCCACAACACTATGCCGTTCTGGTCTAGATTTGTTGCCCGATGACTCGCCCGGAGCAAAAGCGACACTTCTGCTGGAACCGATCGACATCTGCATGGCTTCGGGACGTCTGGGTGATTATGTTCTCGGTTTCTGTGTCCATCAGCAATTCTTTTCACGTCAGATGACTGGCTGTCCACGAGGTACTATGTGCCAGCTTTGCAGCAATACTTTTCTTCACAAATCGCCGAGCCAGATGCTTACCGGACGATGAGTTTGCACTAGTGCCGCATCATGCCGGATTGAGATGTACGTTCTGGCCAGGGCGTACCAGTCGAGACGCAGAGTAAAAATGCTTTTCCGAAATTATGGACGTTGTCGTCAACTACTGCGCAATGCCAAAGCGGATGGCTAAGCTACCAAGCTCAAGGCCGGCTTCGTATAGCCCCGTAGAGCCCTGCGAGGTGCCGTGCCAGATATGCGTTGCAACGGACCATGAGTGCTGCGCTCAAGACAGGAGGGCAGGTCCTGCGACACAAATCCTGGGCCACAGCTGCTTGCAAGCTGAGCATAGGTGTTTCTACGTGTCCATGGCAGCGGACTACCAGCTTTTCCTATCCGTTCCGCGAGGGATCTCAACTGGAGTCATTGCTCAGCCTGGCCCTCAGCCGATGTGATGCGAAACTCAGCCTCTTGGACTTCCTGAGGTTCTATCACTGGGTACGAAGCCAGGAGTCTCACATCTTCTTGCAGATTCCGACTTGGTGAGCCGTATGCTGCAATCCTCCATAGACGTGGAAAGTAACAGATGACATCATCACGTGACTGGACAGTGCTCGCTGTGTTTGCTAGTTCTGCTTGGATATGTCTGCAATCCTGACAGCCGTCACATGCCGCCACCAATCCACGGAGGCTTGATTGCTTGATTGTCGCCCAGATAGCTTTGACAAAAGACTGTGTGCTGTACATACAAGAGTTCGCGGTTCTCCGCTTCATAGTGTCTCTTGAAACCAGCTGCCGTCACCGGCCTCGGCGACGCGATACCACTTCGAAACTCTTTACATCCACGAATCCACGAATCCCGAGGCTTCCTACATCACATCGTCAGCAAAGATAGACCTCTTGGTAATCGAAGTGCCGCCATGTATACAGTCTTTCTCACAACAGCTTGTATCAAGGAGATTGCGCATATTTTTGAGCTTCACTACAAACGGTTTGCACAGGCGAAGCTGTTAACCGTGTTCAGCATTCCTGGATTGAAAGGGCCTGTGTGCCAACTTCACGTAATGTAGCAGCCATGACTGGGACTCGGAATCGAGATCTTCGTTAGTTTTGCTTTCTATGGCCTTCTCGGGCTAATCCGACGAAATCTTGGGCTGTCTGCGAGCAGGATGATCTAGTTTGCCGGATGCCTTTCTGGGTCGGATGTATCGCAGCTACGGTAGTCTGTGATTCAAATAGTCAAACATAAGCATCCGGAGAGTTCGGGTCATGATGTTGGAAATTTAAGGTGCCTCGGCTTTTGCACTAGCATTCTCATTAGCTGCAGTGGCTCATTAGCTGAAAAACTGGTGTTGGGACATGGACCGCAACATCGGCTCAAGGCAAAGACGGCAAGGATAAAATGACGCATGTCCATGAGGGCCAATGCCGCCCAAAAATGGCGTTAGGTCCAGCGGCTCACCTGCAAGTGTGTGTTGCAAGTAAGAAGCTTGCTGCCTTGAGAGCTTCTCAAGGTGAACCACAGAAGAGATGGGTGCCTGTATCGGCAACTACCGAAAGCAAGGCGTCTGTACGGCCGATTTATCATGTCCCGGCTTTTGAGTACGAGTGGCTACAGAAGAGCCGTTCTCGCCACTTTCACCTACCGTTTGTCTTGCTTATTGAAAGGCGCCGATTCGGCGCATGAGAGTTTATCTATGTTATCACGATGATGTAAAGAAGGTGTTCTGTCCTGTCAGGGGCCTGCGGCATAAATCTGCACGAACTGGTCGAACAGCTCCGAGTCCTTCTTTTGACTATCTGTACGTAGCTGTTCTGGATTCGAGATGGCTAGGTTAAGATCTAGGATTGCAGCGAGCTTGCGACTTGATCGTTCTTTGTTCGCGCATGCTGACCACCGGACGGCTGGCTAGGGCATCCGAACGCACGAACGTTTTCTCGATTAATCACCCAGTTTTCAAAGCCCATTCTGCCTCACCTGCCTGACTTCGACAAGTATCTGAATTGAAATTCACTTCACTAGCTGGGTCTATGCCGCTTGTATGCCTCGAGTTCCAAGTTCAACTTCGCTGGTAATGTGAAACTTGCTCGGCGCCTATGTGCGAAAGAACTCAACAAGAATCACGCCCAGCTTTCAGTGCGGTTCGGTTGAACCTCTAGCGTCATTCCTGTGTATGTGCTCGCTCGCGCGCTCTCTGCCTCTCCCTCTTTTTTTCTCTCGCTCTGTCTCTCTCTCCCTCCCTGTCTCTCGCTCTCTCCTTGTGTCACGGCTCATGCATGTCCTGAAAGCAGGCCGTAATGGTTGCTAGATGTCTTCGCAGTCACACCATGAAGCCATGGAGCCTCATTCTGCTTGACCTGGGGGTAGCTGTGAACAAGGAAAGCTTTCCAGGAACCCTCGGGAATCGCAGCTCAACCAACAAAATCTTGCCTAAGAGGTCACAGACATTACATGTGGATGCAGATCGGGCAGCCTGTACCAATGGGACCAAACAAGGTGCAGGCTGAACTGGAGGCGCTTTAGTTGTGTAACTCGGTTTGTTTTGCAGAGGTTTCAAGACGAAGGACGTTGGTCCAGTGTGGCCGCTAGCATCAGAGTCCTGTGTCGGACCGACAGGGTCCTCGATGCTCGGCGATATCAAATCTGCCTCTCTCTCGTCCACTCTCTGTCTCGAACGCAGGCTAACGTGACGGTAGGAACACTGGCATGTTCTTTTTTCATAGAAGAGCAGGCTTCCGAGACCGTCTCCGAGCCAAAGGCTGTTGCCAAGCGCAAACAGCCGAAGCGGAGGGCAAAGCCAAAGGAGGAAACCCAGGAAATTGTCGCCGTCCCAGCTGAGGCCTGCAGCTTGCACCTATTACCTATTGGTAGGGTTCTAGGACATATAGGCATCACTGACTTGACACGGTGACACCGTTGCACTGGAGCAGCTTTGGTGCATGCTTCCTAGCAGGTGCCAGCGAGGCGACGCCATGGCAGCAAGGCCAACCTGCCAGCGAAGCAACCTGCCATGCCGACGAAGACAAATTCCGCCAGCAGGGCCTTCAGGAAAGGGGGTCCTTCGTACAAGCATGACACCTGGCAGCTTTACAAGGTCAGACTTCGGCAAGTTGCAACCAACAGCTGGCTCAGCCCCCGATAACATTTAGTGTCTCCTGAACATGCGGCACGTGTTCATATCGAAGTGAGGAAGCGCTTGGACGTGGATCTGGCGAAGCTGGAACGTGCCACCTCTCAGAGTGCATGCTTTGCCGAAGACTTTTGAAAGAGTCCGACATGAGGCATAAGATGACATCGGCGAATCCTGCAGAGCGTCAACAGTCGGAGGAATCCGTTCAAGGAGCTGCTGGTGAGGAGTCTACTTCTGAAGGGATGGCAGGCCACACTGACATGTGCTTGCCATCGTCCAAGTGCGGGTGTGTCTGTGTGTTTTTTATCACCGCAGCCCGGCTATTCGTACTACTTTGGCAGGATCTGACATTGAACCAGCAGTTATCAAGACTCTATCTCAAAATGGGCCTGCCAGTCATCCCAAGGCTAGGGTCGCGATCTGTACCTCCGGGTTCATCCGCTTCCTGTGATCAGGCAGGCATCTCTGCGGGCACAGCTCCGGACGTCACAAGCCCGATCTGCTTTTTGCATCTGCAATCCGGTCGCACTGGATGCTCAGGTCGGAGGTGTTTGCGTTGGACTTTTTGAAAGCTTCTATGCTGAGCGCATCGATGTCCAGGCTGTGGCTGAACTGAAGTTGAAGTAGGGCCGTGTAGAAGCAGCACTGTGGACAGGACCTTGTTGCCCTGATGCGACGCTTCTCGCACGAGAACGACAGCAATCTGTCGGAGCCTGAAGACGGCTTCGTTGCAAACAGTTGAACCACCGTCGCCTTTCAATGCTTCGCGTTTTGCCATGGTCCGTGACTCGAGGCGGCGCATCCATCAAAAGGCGGTGGCGCTGCTCCTGGAGGATTTTCAGTCTTTGCCACACTGGCCCGAAAAAGAGCCATTCTCCCGGACAGACGCGACCAAATGCGCTACTTCCACCTCTTGGCATGTGAGGCTCCTGCGGACCGGTGAGCTCTTGGGACAACTCATCCGCTGGACTCCTGGCATTTCATCTAACGATGCATCGGGAAGCGTTGGACCTGGCGAACTGTCAGGTTGGAACTTGATTCCGGATCGCGGCCCTTTGCAAAGAGCACTGCTGCGGCCTCAGAGTCCGGGACTTTCCATCGGATCCCGTGTTCCACTCAGATTTCTCGAGGTGTTGCATGCTGCACGCTCTCAGAGAGCCTGCCAATAGCTTGCTCCACAGGCTCCTTGCGCAAACATATCCTGTGTCTGCCTTCTTTCTGAAGTCTCACGCACGTACCAGGTTCGGGCACCGAATGCTGGAGCAGTTTAGGCACAATCCTCAGAGGCTTCCTGTGAATCCTCGCGTCAAAGATAGCCGTCAATCTGCTCCTAAGCCTGTTGGTGAAAATGTGCATCCAGTCTGACTTTGCATTTGCAACCCTTCGTCGGACGCCTCTGCGGGGGGTGGGTGGATCTATTGCTTCGCCGGTGCACGACGATACTCGTGTCTCGCGGACGCTGCCGCACGGATCTTCGTAGCAGAACTCCGCACCAAATGTGCGCCGAACGGCCAGGCATGATGCTCACGCCGCCCGCTTCCTTCCCTCTTTTGGCTTCCCGGTCGTCGACCACCAGAACCACAGTTGTTCATACCAAGGAGCGGAGCAGCGAAATGAATCAACAGAGGAGCATTGATTACGTGAAAACGAGTCAACTCACTACTTGCGCATTTTTTGAACAAGGTCTCCAGGAATACACTCGCAGGTCAGTCTGTTGCTAGCAGATGTGGATCCAAGTGGTCCTGGTGGATCCGGCGGAAATGTGTTCACTGTCTCTGCTTTATGTCGGTAGCCGCTCCTGCCTCTTTCATCAGCTCGATGCAAGTGCCTCGCACTCCGAGCCAATGTTGCCAGCAACCACTGCTTGTACAAAGTAACTATCGGCTTTGTAGCTGTCATTCTTGAAGCTCATTCGAGAGCCTGCTTTTCTGCCAGCATGAGGTCCAGACTTGGCGACACTGAAGTGGGTCTGACGTGTCGGTCTCAGTCCACGTGGGTCTCAGTCCACGTGGGTGCCTCCCTTGTTGACTGTTGAGATCAGAATTTAATGTCAAGTTCAAGGCTGTCCCGGCACATTGTCCAACCCAGCCTTCGCCTAGAGGAAAGTTCAGCGTGCATTGGATCGGGTGAGTCATCAGTTTTTTTGACATTTCCATATCAGGAGCCGGACCGCAAGGAGGCAAGCTGTTGCAGTGTTGGAAGCTTTCTTGTGCTTTCAATTTTGCAGTCAGGTCAGACGTTCAGTGCAGGAAGTGTGTCTTCGCTGCAAGGAGTCTGTGCATAGTGGGTTAATGCTGTTCTTAAGAGATCCTGAGGCATGCGAGCCCAAAAATCGGAAGCGCTCCGTGGCCGCTCGACCTTGAGCAGAAGCTGTGTAATTTTGAGGCTGCATGATCGTTAAAGGGAAGTTCTTGTGAAACTATCGGCGCTATGTATCCCAGAGGTCAGAAGTCTGCGCTTCTCGCATACTGTCGATGCCTAGATTGGCATGATTGGCTGAACTCCGCACAAACCCTCCATGAGGGTGACACCCAAACGAGCACATGCCGACACACTTCCACAGAATCATACCACCGCTTTCCAAACGAATCTGCGGGACAGCCACAGATTGGCAGTGACTCCTGGGAGTCTCAGTCTCCTGAGTCTCCTCACCTTGCCACTCGACGCTTATGCAGTCGGCAGTTGCAAAAGGTGTGTGCCGAATCGCAACCTCGAGCAGCAGTTCCGCATGCCAGTTGCTCCTGTGCAGGCCAGTTGTAAAATCTTTTGGTTGCAAGAGCCTTCATCTGTATTATTCTGCGCTGGCCGTTGACTTCAACTTGATAGGTGTCTCAAACCCTGCTTGGCAGCGTGCCGAGCGCGACACCACTTCGATTGCAAGGCAGTGCTCGACAGCAATGCAGGGTCCCAAGCAGTTGGTTTCTGCAAAAACAGCGCCTAGCTAGAAAGCGTTCAGGGAGGGTCGGCACTCTGGAGGCGTTCTGTTGTGAGGGGTGAGCGGATAGCGCCCTGCCAGAGCATTGAAGCAAAAGCCTTTTTTAGTTGCTGCTCGGTTTGCAGGCATCCAAGCCGGTGTGGCGTGGACGCCTGCGCCCAAGCCGTTGTTTTTTCGAAGGTTTGAAGCTGCTGTTAGAGTCACTGCAGGTTCGGCGGCGCTAAGGCACGTTCACATGAGTTCCTGGAAGCACATGGGTCTCAGTGCGCATGTCGAGGCACCACCACGCGCCAAGCAAGGCCTGGATGAATGTTTTTGGCAGTCGCAAGTGACAGTAGTATTTTCATCTCGTCTCTGCTGATTCAAATCTCAGGATTGAGCATGCAGCATGATTGCTTGGCAGCCGCCGTCTGGAAATCAATATGCATCGTTCGGCAGATTGTGCATGTAAGGAGGGTCGTGTCGAGTCTTTCATGTATTTCGTGCACTTCCACCCTAGAAGTGACGAAGGCATTCAAACGGGCCGAAAGATCCTCCCAGGTCAACTCTTGTTCGAACTTGTTCTCACAGCTTGCAATTTGGGCGGAGCTTCCGAGTCCGCTCGAGATGTATGTCATATGCTTGTTTGAAGGTCGTTTTGCAATTTCGACGTGCGTCCGGCGACAGACTGCCTAATAGGGAAGTATCGTGTTTCCAGCATGATGATGAATCTTGTGTGGTGTGCATAGGCACGGCGGCATCGACGGAGGACCCCTCGATCTCAGCAATCTTTTTCTCTGCATTCTTTCAGCCCTTTCCCCTGCGGAGGAGAAGCGAGACCGTGAAGCGAGAGGTATCGGGTTGTGTAACGACAGAGCACCGGTGGTTTTTTGCTGAGCAGGAAAGCAGAGCAAGCGCAGTTCTGCTTGCTTCTCAGCCTTGACGTTCTCTACGGAGCTTGCCATCGAAGAAAGACTCAGGCAAAAAAGAAAAATGCTGCAAACCAGGAGCAGCGTGCATGGCTCATCAACCATCGTGGCTTGTTCCCGTGTGTGGGTCCCAACCGCACTGCTTTTTCAGGTTCTTCCCGTCAAGGCAAAAGTTGGCCAGCCTTCATTGAAGTCCTGAGCTCAGATCAAAGCATGTCGTCTTAAATGGTCCGTTGCCGCGTGGAAGGTAGAGCTGGACACGCTGAAGTTCTGCCTTACGGACGACGACGTGCAGGCGAAGCCATGTTATGCCGCTATGCCATGCGTAGCCGAGGCTTTGGCCAGAGATCTGCCTGTGACTGTGATGCGGGCTTTGCAGGTTGCAAGTCGTGAACAGCCTGTGCAGATCTGAGAGTAATCTGTGACCTGAGTGCGATATTTCAGCCACTGTGTCCCACTCCCTTATGAAATTTAGGTTCAGTTGGATGCAGCGGCTTCGTCCAACGAGACGAGCAAGTCAGACACGAGGCCAGAGTGCAGAGCTACACGTTGAGCACAACGTGATAGTCTCCTGCAGACTGCAATCGGGCAGCTGCGGCGAGCAAGTGCCTGAAAGTGCGTAGACTGCAGATCGTGTCATTATGGTGTAGTAGAGAAGCTTTCGTTTCACCCGCAATCCGCCATTTTAGAAGCTTTTAGTCGAGCGCGGACCTTGTACTGCGCCAAACCGAGACGACCGCCTCCTTGCGGGGAATATGTGTTCATGCAAAAGCCCGGACGCTTGCACGCTTGCCTTGAGCGTGGCTTGATTGATGAATCCATTGCGTAAGCCAGCAAAGCACCGAGAGGAAATTCAAAAACCTCAACTTTGGCTCACCGCCTACAGCCCGCAGAGCTTGCCGTGAGCAGTGTGCCTCTGGCATGTTTGAGAGTATGGTGACCTGTCACAACGGAAACGGGTTGTCACATCACAACACGTTTGCGAGGTGCTGTATGCGCCATGCCTTAGGGCTTGGGGCCTGCAGAAAAGCTCCATTCCCAGTCCGATACGATTGCCATTGCTCTCTTTGGACAAAGAAGCATGCCCAGACTGCGTCTTTTTTTGCGGGAATGTCTAGGACCAGCATGAAATGAATTCTATAGTGCAGGCTCGATTTGACTAGACAGTTGCAGGGCTACAGCATTTTGCAGCTCAGGTAGGTTCATTTGCGGCCGCTGCCACTGCAGAATTCCTGGTCAGCCTGGCTGGTGTTCTCGGGCTTTTCGGAGGTATGACATGTGTGACTCGAGGGAGGAGGTCGCCCTTCGACACAAGCGGCGAACAGCTGTTGCATTGCGTGGCCGAATTACATGGAACGTGGCTGCGCAGAAAGGGAGTGTGTGTTCAGCAAACTGTACTTGACGGGCAGGTGCTCAGTTCTTACTCCTGCATTCCCTTCTTCTACAGAAGAATCTTAGAAGCCCAGTCAAAATCCGTACCAGGGACCTCTTGCTTGAGGATTTGGGCCTTATGTCCAGCAGAGAGGAGTAGAGACACAGCGCCTCAAGAAAGACAGAGATCCAGGCTGGAGAGCAAAGCTGGCCTAAAGAGCGCTGGCCACTGCTTGATTTCCTTCATTTCAGGGATGTTTGACACTAAGTGCCCGGCTCAACCTTAACATGTTCGTGATAGCGACACTGACAGTGCATCTGCACCAAGCCATTTCCCAGCTGGGCCATCGGCGATTCACCAAAATGCGAGCTGCTCCTGAAAGTGGTGCAGCTCAGCTGACGCGGCCTCGGTTGTTCCTGCAAAGCTCACGCAAGGGCCGCATGGGAATGAACAGTGACGAAGGCCGCGCTTATACCACGATGTCAATGTCCTGGCCTCAGCTTCATCTTGAGACTCCGCCCGTGGCCCGGCTTGGCAGGTCAATCGACCACGTGATTACTGGGACTATGAGAACCTCTCAGTGAACTGGGGGTGCCGGAGCTGCAGCCAGGTGTTCTGAAGTTTCAGCTTGAAGGCATTCTGCCTTGAAGCTTGCAATTACCTCCGCAGTTTGACTTCGAAGCAAGCTGCAGTTCATGTGGCAGAGTGACGATTAGTAGAGGAGTCATGCTCCAGTGATGAAGCAGCAGCAGGAAGAGTGACATCTGCGCAGATCTTGTTACACGGTCGGCAAACTGCTCTGCAAGCTGCTGCAAGCTCTGAACATTCGGACTGCGTCTCCGACGAGCCGCGATCATCTTCCTACCCGTGTTGAGCACACATCTTCGCAGATCGCAGAGCTCAAGCAGCGAAGCTCAGGTGTCAGGATGATTACGAAGTCCTCCGCAAAGTTGGCAGGGGCAAGTACAGCGAGGCCTCTCAGCAGCAGTCATATACGGGCTGAGATTTTGGGCTTGGATATGGCTCAAAGTGTGAAATCTGCCATGGCAGGCCGTGTTGCAGGTTGACTGTGACGGACATGCTTCGTTGCAGGTTTTTGAAGGCATCCACATGGCGACGCAAGAAAAATGCGTCATCAAGCCTGGAGCTCAGTCTGCAGATGTCCAAGCAAGGCTTGCCATTGCACTGTGTCCAGGATTCTGAAGCCGGTCAAGAAGAAGAAGATCAAGCGCGAAATAAGGTCGTAATGTTCTTGTGAGTCCTGCCTCATAGTGCTTTTCCTTGACGCGTTCAGATGCAGGATCTTACAGAACCTTTACGGTGGTCCGAACATCGTGCGGCTTCTAGATGTTGTCAGAGACCCTCAGTCGAAAACGCCCAGCTTAGCGTCATACTCAGATCCATGCGGGTATTCTGCCTTCCTGCGACCATATGTGCGCACACGGATGTTTGTGCCGTGCCAACACGCTGCGCTGCCGAGATATTCGAGTACATCAACAATACCGATTTCAAGCAACTCTACCCCACCCTCACCGACCACGACATTCGATACTACATCTTCGAGATTCTTCGGGCGCGGCAGCTGTCACCAGCTGTCACCAGTCTCCAGCTGCCAATTGTTATGCTGAAAGGCTCTCGACTACTGCCATTCCCAGGGAATCATGCACAGGGACGTCAAACCTCACAATGCCGCCAGACTAGGTTCATTGCGTGATTCTCTAACTGCCTTGAAATTGTTTTCTGCTCAAGCGCCGTGCCCAGGTCATGATTGATCACGAGAACAGGCGCTCATCATGACCATTATTGCCACTGTCATCGTTGTGCTCCTGCAACGTGTTGCAGGAAACTACGGCTGATCGACTGGGGACTGGCCGAGTTCTACCATCCCAATCGTGAGTACAACGTCCGCGCTCGCCGCCGAGAGTCCAGCTGCGTAGATTTGCAGGCTCTACTCAAAGGATGCTTGCTCGTGCTAACGCCGCCGCAGATGCGGATGCGCTGTCAGTCTTTTTGACCGAGGTTGCCTCCCGATACTACAAGGGTCCCGAACTGCTGGTGCGGGCCTGTGCAGAGGAACGGATACCCTCGATGAAACCAAGTAGCGCAGGTCGATCTACAGCTCTATGATTACTCTCTGGACATCTGGAGTCTGGGCTGTATGCTGGCTGGCATGGTGCACCCCTCTGGTCTCCAGCTTCGCCCGCGCAGTCTAGTTTTGCGGCTCGTTTTGTCTTGTTTGCAGGTATTCCGAAAGGAGCCTTTCTTCCATGGCCAGGATAATTACGACCAGCTGGTGAAAATTGCCCGTGTTCTGGGTTCTGTCCCCAGGAGCTCCTTGCACAGATTACAGGCACTTCCATCTCGGCTGAGGCACAGATGGCTTGTTTGCTTACCTGGACAAGTACAACCAAGAGTTGGATCCACATTTTGATCACATCCTTGGAAGGCCGATGCTTTGTACAGTCACTGCAGGTTCATCATTGAAGCCTGCAGCCTGCTTGCTAGGCACTCCAGAAAAGCTTGGTCGAAGTTTGTGACATCCGAGAATCAGCATCTGGTGAGGCATCACTCTGGCTCATTTCGCTTGATGTGGATCTGTGCTCCAAGTGAAGTCCAGCGTCCCTGCCAGTCTGGACGTGCTGGATCTCATAGACAGGATGTTGGTGTACGACCATGTCATGACCTTGCTTCGCAGAGGTCCAGCATGGCTTTCCAGGCAGTGCATGCAGCCTGAGGCTCAACGCATTTTGCCCAAAGAAGCGATGCTACATCCCTACTTCGCGCAGATCAGGGTGACTGTGCAGCATTGCAAGAGGGTCAGATGTCCTTCTGCATGGCTTCATGGCCAAGCTCCAAAACAAAAGCCTGCAGGAGTCAAGCCCGAAGGCTGCAGCAGCTGCATCTGAGATGCCCAAGGCCTAGGTCAATCAGGCCTTCGTCCTTGTCAGTAGCTTTGAGGAGGCTTTCAGCCAGTCAAATGCAGTTGACTGAACTTCGGCTAAAGTCTTCAACTGGAAAGCCACGGCAGAGTTGCTTGCGCTGTCTGAGAACTGTGACTTTAGTGCCCGACGTTGAGGATGCGACTTTGGATTCATGGCTCTGGCTTATCGGCTTTCCTTGCGACAGCTTCCAGGGCCTAGGGCAGACAGCACCGGAGCAGTGACAAGTTGATTGTCTTGCAGTTCTGCGAACCTCGCTGATCCAAAGCTGTGACGAGACCTCTGGCAACTGCAGGGTAGCTTTAGCTGCAGCAGCACAGACAGCGCCCAGCAGACATATTGTTTCTCTTCACAGCCTTCAGCACCAAAAAGATCGTAGAATCGACGCCTACGCCTAGCTATTTGCTCCTGAAGCACCGGCCGGCAGCAGAGCGAGAGCTCGGAACGAGGCTCGGCTAACAAGACAGCGTCGTCAGAGTCACAGTCAGATTCTCCGAGCGTGTTCGCGTCGTTTTTTAGACCCTGTTGGAGCGTTCGGAGCCGTGACAGGAGCCTTGCCATGAAGGCTTTGTGCAAGCCGCTTCGCTGCTTGTCGTTCTTTGGAGGGCGAAAGCCGCCGGATCAGTGCTCCCTCGACTGTTCAGGGTGTGATTGCAGGTTGAGGGCAGTCGGCCCTTGCCCTTGACCTCCTTCCAGGTACACTGCTGTGGAAGGGCAGCATTTGTCGAAAGCCGTTGATATGGATGATGAAGATGAGGAGAGCGAGTTTCGTGGTGGGTAAAAGATTGCATGCTGTCCAGACATGTCAGGATGATTTCTTCGGGGATTCCTGGGGAGAGGGAGGCGCAAGTTCCAGCGCATCTCAGACAAAGGAGGCCCAGCTGTTTCCTCTTCGGGCTGTGGAGAGGCGGCCTAGGGCCTAGTATGATGTTGGGACTGCCCCAAACCTCAGAGAGTCTCCAGGGCGAAAGTAGAGGCCCCGGATTGCTTGAATCACGGTGTATATACAGTCTACATTGGCCCTCTCTATAGAGCTGCGGCGAGGCCTGTTGGTGTGTAGAGGAAGATGTCACGCATTCACGATGGTTGGGGGGGGGCCTTCCCGCCGGGACTCCATGTTCCTGGGCGTCGCATTTACATTGTACAAGATGACAGATGCCCATTCGTGGCATTTAGTTCAACTCTTCCCACAGCGCTCGTCAAGTGGGCTACTGCGATCCCCACAACTCGCGGACAGCATGGGCCAGAACATATTTTTCTCGGGATGCTCGGAATATGTCGGCTCCGTTCGATGGAGCCGTGTTCATTTTCGCAACCCCTTGTCAGACATAGAAGTGTGATCAGCGATGAGAGTCCTATTGCTGACAATGCAGGCTGAGGCGCAGCGGAGTGGGGCCCTACTGCCACATTGAGTGTTCTTTTAATATTTACAACCATCATGTGCAGCAGCTGTGGCAGCCAGGTGGAGCGAAATCCAACCAGAGAAACGACAACCAAGCGGCCAGCTCCAGGTTCGCTTTCTGTGCACGACGTCACGTCAGTGCAATGTTGTTTGTGTGTTACTTCCTGTGCAGCAGACAATGACAACAGTCGGTACCAAAGGTCTTTTCAAGTGTGGGATGGTGTGGGGCAACAGGTAGCTCAGAGAGCGGGAAGGCACGCATTGGGTCTGGTGGAGGCGTGCACTTACCTGGACAGGCGAACGGCTGAAGTCGCTGCAGCTTTAAAGCAGAATGAAGTAAACACAGATTCCCGTCGAACAAATCCTGATCCCTGCAGGCTGGTAAGTGGGCCGGTTCCCGATTGTAAAGGACACGCTTACGCGGCCAGCTCACGACATCCCGAGTTTGTCAGGTCCAGGAAAACCCAGGCCTCGAGGGCATGATGATCTAACATACCTACCCACCGTGATGGCGATCGTGGTCAACTGCCGGATATGAAGCCTCTGAATAAGTGTTTGAACGAAAACATTGGCGCCAGCGGATTGGATGCAGCTGAAGTGCATCACGACATGTCACTGTCGACGCTGAAAGTTGTCACAATGAAGCTGATCCCATGCGAGGCGTTGCGTCGCAGGCGCCAAAACTTGCTGCCAAGAAGCAGGCTTGCCGAGCCATCTTTGGTTTTTTCAATTTGCGGCCGAGCTGGCTCAGGAGGCCGACTTTTTCAACGAGTTGGGTATGGAACCAGAGTATAGAGCACCAAGGACCTGAAGAAAAACGATTCCGTCGTTCCGTGTTGCGCAGAACCTTTGTAAAGAGCACCTAAGCAAATGTTTTCCTGGGAGGATTCTTGAAAAGGAGCCCGGGCCAGGCCCGAAAGGCTCCTCTGTGAGCTCCTTGCTGGATGAAACCGCTGAGGCACCCAGAGACTAGTGGCATTCCCATGGCTTGTCGGTCCATCTTTTGATTTTGGAGGTCTCCTCCGCAGCTTGGGGCGATGACTTGGAGCTTTGAGAGCCTCAGGGCCGAGTGCTGCGAGTCCTTTGACCGGACCCTCGAAGGATGCGACCAAAATCTCCGGCGGCAAGTCTGGAGTAAAAGCGTGCAGATGTCTCGATAGTTTCGGTTGTTCGAAGATGAACAGTTGGGGTTGCAAAGTTGTGTTCGTGCTCTGTCAGACGGTCAGACCTTTACACTATGCGGTTGAAAGTACCAGTAGGCCGTGGGTAGGCAGTGCTGAGGTTGCGGGCACGAGCACAAAAAATAAATAGCCCGGAAAACAGCAAGCAGTGTCTACAACTGATCTGACTGCCAGTTCCAAAATTGATCCTGTCTCCCGGTTCATGTGTCCCGAAGTGGGTAGAACTTTCCAGTAGCAGGTGTGCCAGTAATTTTTTCAGTAGTTTTGGAGGGCAGCCTGGTTTTTGACCAAAGTGCAGGCTGATATCTTCAGGGTGCAGGCTGATATCTTCAGGGCAACAGATTGGTAGAGCAGGGTCAAGCCGTTCGATCTGCATTCTCCTACCCCGTTAGAGCTGTCTTTCATGTACCTGAAGTGGTAGCTTTCTGTTATGTTGATGCTTGCCAGAAGAAGTTGAGCATGTAAGCTCCACATCTTCGCAACCGATGCCGGAAATCATCCGTGCCGCATGATTCGACTCCACTTTCCGAGCTAGAGCCTTATATAGCAGCTTCCTTGGGCAACGTGTCACAGGTTCCGAATCAGCGCTTCGTAATTTCTAATCCTTTTTGGGACTAGGTCGCTTGCCGTGCGTGTTTTGTTTCTGTACCGGGTCAGTTTCCAAATCAGGGTTTTGCAAATCTAGGCGGAACCGACGGCTAAAGTCTAAAACTGTTGGCACCACAAAGTCCACCAAGTCAGCTGAGGGACCAGTTGTGGTAAGTAGCAGCAACCTTCGATCCTTGCGCCCGCTGCCGAGAGCTTGTTGGACCTCACCCAATCTGAATCTTTCTCCGTGGCAGCTTCAAACATTGAGCAGGTGCTTCAGAACACAACAGTCTGTGTGCAGCTGGCAGGTATGATGCTGTTTGGAAGAGAACCTGCGCCATGTGTTGCAGTTGTGCTGCATTTGATGGGCTGTAGCCACTGTAGCCATGCATGGATCACTATCAGTTGTGAGGCTTTGAACGCTCTCCACTACAAAGCTTAGACTTTCCTCCGTCTTCATTCTAGGTATCTTGCCTGAGTAATGCACGAAGCTTGCGGCCGCTATGAGCTGGATGTGGGTGTCGAAGACACTCGCAGCTGAGCACTTACCGCAGTTTTTTCCACCGTCCTCCCCATTAGGTACCATGTATGTTTCTCAGGCCCTGCTGCTGGCATGTTCGCCGTGTGCAGTCGGAGGAACCTGTCCACTATCAGGCCTCGAATCAGTTTCCACAGAGTCTGTTTGCGCTGATTTTTGTCTTGGGTGCAGAGGTTCTCGTGCATCTCCAGCAAACATCTTGCCACCAAATGTCTGGGCCCAAATTTGCAAAGGCTTTCCTTTGAAGCTGCGGATTGCAAAAGACAGGCAGAGCCAGAAAGTGGTTCGGTGCTGATGTTGTACAAGGCAAGCCTTCGCATTCTTGAAGCAGAAGCAGGGATGCCTTCTTGGCGGCAAGGGCTGGAACGTCAGCAACCTCTCCATCGAGCGCATCGAGGATCCGGCAATCTTCAAAGATCGTGAGGAGTCGAGCATTTTGACTCAGTAGGAGACAGAGGAGGCTTCCGGGTACCTGAGTCTGGTCTTTGACGGGCCGGAGGGCGGCGGTTCATTGCAGGCGGTTCCATGAGTGACTCACGCGGCATTGTGCATCTGGGCATTCTCAGAGGCTGGCGAGAGCTTTTCAGATATGGACGAGCCGGCTGCTCAGACGACAGCCCAACAGAAACTCCTGGCTTCAATGCGCTGGTCTTAGCAAGCATGGCAAGCAACAAGCTCAAATTCTCTGGTTCTGTTCTAATTCTGCAGATCCATGGAGCCTCCTGAGCCCTGATGGAGGACATGCAGAGGCTGCACACCTCCTTGCACTGTTTCGCTTCGCTCTCGCACGCGGGTTTGGTGTGTGGATGTGGTGAAATCTGGGGTCGCAAGATCTCCCAGGCCGACTTCCGGCATGTGTAGAGCCATCGTGGGCACCATTCCAGAAACAGTTACATCCCCTCGAGACTTCCCATGTTGACAGATGAGTGCCAAAACTCTGAGATACGTGCTGCGTCGGATTCGCATCTCCATGCCCAGCGAGCCACGCACCAAGAGGTCTGCGTGGATTTTTGATGGTTGAGCTTGAAGGCTTGCAGGGTAAGCACAACTTTGTCTATTGTCAAGGCCTTTTCTCTTTGCATTTGGCAAGGCACACGTTGCTGAACCGACGTTTGCCTTTAGAGGCAGGCGGAGCGGCGGAGCCTGTTTCGGTTTGACTCATGGCTTGCCGGCCGGGCTGAGCTTGTGGCAGAGGTGCAGCTCTGGCACGAGCCAGCAGTTCATCGGGACATCAGCCGGCTCATCACAGCTCGAGCGAAGGCTGTTGCCAGTTGCATGTTCCTGTTTGGGCCCGATCATGGTCACTTCTGTCCGGCAGCTGTGGGCATTGCTGCGTAACCGTGGCCACGTTAGTTGTAGGGGCTTCCACGTTGCAGTGCAGATTTTTTGCTCTTTTTGTTTCGGGAAAATCTGGGAGGGCTGCGTTGATTGCGTTCTGGAAGCCGCCCCGCGTGCGTTTGACAAGACACTCGCTTTGCAAAGAAGTGCACGCTGCCTGATGAACGTCCGCAACTCGCAGGCGAAATTTTCCAAAACTTAAGAATCCAGCGATGCAGATGCAAATCGGGATGTGGCTG